ACAGTTGCCATGAGCTTGGTCTGTCTGCGGCTTTTCCATGTTGGGCGGTGTTGACACAGACTGCCCAGCCAAATGCTTGTATAGACACTTGTAAAGCGATGTTAAAATTAACTAGAGCACAGTTGCAAGACATTGCAGACTACACGGCTTGCGCTGCGCAGGCTCTGCCCTCAAGAGACACACGTTCCGCTCGCATTGAAAACCTGCTGCTCGTTCCTGGAAAGAGTTCTTTGATTTGAGTGCGGTCGCATTCCTTTCAGTAGTTTCTAGCTGAGGACTCGCGCATATGCAGTGGCTGGGTGTGGCTGGGGAATGAGAGCGAGAGCGGAGTGAGAGAGAGAGATAGATATGTGTATATGTGTATATATATATATAGTCTCCCCAATGCCCGTCTATGCCTTTCAATTCAAGATGCCATGATGCTGTCTCTTCTGTCGTCTCACTCGTCGGACTTGCACTTCCCCTGATGATTTCTTATGATATATTTCAGTTCTTTCAGACAGGTGCGAGGGCCGCGCCGCATTTGCGTTCAGATTTGCTCGACTGTGGCGACCTCGGCAGAGCACAAGACCCTTAAAGCGCTGTGCCGTCAATGTCGCTTCCTCCTTGCTCTGCTGACTGGTCAACATCAACACTGTCGTCTAGCCCTGGCAGCGAGAAATTCCAACCTGTGCAACTTCCCTGGACACTCAGCTTGCCTGCCTGCACTTACACGTCCACTTTTCTTACATTCCAGAGTGCTTGTGCTGAGTGTCGGCATGCCTTCCTTTCGCGAACGACTTTGAATGCTAACAGAGTTGTCTGGCCTGTTCTGATGGAAGTTCTGGTGTGTCTGATCGCCATGGTCGCACAAGTGTGCGTGCCGCGCTACCTATTGAGTGATGTTGTGCACCATGAGATTGAAGCCTGCCACGGCATTTGTATCAAGCTTCAATTATTCGCGGTTGGATTTTGGATTGCAGAGATGTTGCATGAGGGCTGGGAGACATGGTCCATGCTTGTGTGGATGTGGATTGTTGATGAAATAGAGTACAACGTCAATGTGAAGAACAAGCCCCAGCGGCCTGCCATTAGGCGGCGGGTGCGTCGGTGGGAAAGGATTGTTGGCGCAATCCTCATCTTACTCAAGTTTCTCATTGCGGTGTGGCTCACTTATGTGGGGAGCGTTGGGATCGTGAATTCCGAGAGTAATCAGGACCTCATTTTTAACTGCGTGGCCATGAACTTCCTTCTGAAAATCGACGACGTGATGTTCTTATGCATGTCGAGCAAGATGTCCAAGGACATGGTCAAAAGCCTTGAGCCACATCATGTGGAAGTTGAGCGCTTTAGCAAAGTCTATGCGTTCGATCTTGCCTTTGGGCCCCTGCTCTCAGTGATAGCCTGGGCATCGCTGACGTCGGGCTTTGTTTTTATCAATAATGAATGCGGTTTTGAGCGCGAGCATGCATGTTAAAACGAGCATGCATGTTAAAAGTGGTAGGTGAGGTAGATGTGTCGAAGTGCAGAGAGGCAGTGTACAGTGTTGAACTCGCCATCTGCATGAGTTGTTTTCGCTTAGCGGAACTTCATCCCGTTACAGGTACAGGTCATGACTGGCCAATTGGCTGGTGTGTGCAGACGTCCTGGTGAACGATATTCGTTATTTAGTCAATATTATTAGCCAATTCCAAGCGCCGAAGCCTGGCACAAGTCCAGAATCATCTAGATACCAGCATTGTTGCCTGGAGCCTCGGGCAAAAGACAAATCAGGACTCGCTTTGCTTCAATCTTGCAGGTAGATGCGCTGGCATCGAGAACGCTGCAGAGTCGCAGTATGTGAGCTCTTCCCATGCTCTTTCCCGAAGCGAGGTTTCGGGTGTTATAATGCTTTGATTTCCGATTTGAGGCTAAGCAGGTTCGTTTCCCTGGCAGCTGAGTCGTGCTGGCTTGTCACTTGTGCAGGCAAGTGGGCGTGAGTTTGTATTCCATACCGAGACATGCTCTTTCGCCCGCCTCAGCTTTCTACACAAGTGAAGCTTTGCAACCTCTTGATCTCGCACCACTCAGCTCCCCGCGAAACCACCTTCCTGAGCAGTCGATTCTGAGCTCTGGACCCTACGAAACCGTAAACCCTAAGGCCCTAAACCCTAAACCCTACGACCCTGCAAGCTCCGACCCTAAGCCCCAGACACTTGAAGACCTGAAGCCTCGCACCTTGTCAGCCTATGAGGCTTCCAACGGCAAGCAAGGATCCTCAGCAATTCGAAGAGGTTCGTTGGGATGCCAGGATCAGAAAGGAATCGGTGGGGCTTAGGGTTTAGGGGGATGTTGGTAACCCTAACCCCCCAGGTACCTACTCTATAGGTACTAGAGCCCCTAGGGCCCTATATAGTAGGTACCTGGAGGGTTAGGGTAACCCTAAACCCTTCGCTAGAGAGCCTCCTGGAGCCATGGCCGCAGAGGGTGAGGAAGAGGCCCGGCGTCTGCGCATCGATGCGGCTGTCGCTCGCTGCGAGGCGACAAACCCCAAAAACCTGAGAGAGCCGCAAAGTCTACGTTTGGGTTCAGAGTTTAGGGTTTATAGGTTTGGGGTCGAAGGTTGAGTTCAAAAAGCGGCTTCCTTCGAACAGTTCTTTTTAAGGCTTCTTAGGGGTCTTGCCGGGGGTTCGGCTTGAATGCTGAGAGCTGGGTCGAGGGTACCTTTGTGCAACTGTCCGGGACCCGGAGGTGGATGGAAGCCAGAAACTGAAGCCCCTTCTGGATCGATATGAAAGGATCTAAGTACCAACATAGCAGAGCTGGCATAGCTTAGGGACGAAGTAGCTGTGATATTGGTTTTGTGATCATGGACGGAACATCGCAGCTGTCCGTACAGATCGAGAGGTCCCTGTCTGAGCTCTTCTAGAGTTCGAATTGCAGGGTATCACGAATCTAAACCGAAAGACCTCCTTAACCTCTGACCCCAAAGCCCCAGTCCCTGCAGTCCTGAAGCCTTGGCTCAAAACCCGGTGCTACAAACCCCGAACACCCGCAATCAAGCAACGGAGCAGCTTCTTCCCAGTCAGGCGCCCATTCACCCAGACTTCCTGATACCAAAGACCCAGGAGGCAACTGCGACCGCAGCAGCTCGGCTTTTCTTGCGGGCTCAGGGCTAGCAACGGAGGATTCGGGATTTACACTGAGCTTGAAGATATCGAGTCTTTTTGAGTTCACGCTGGAAGGTTGAGGGTTTTGGGTCCAGATTTTTGGGTTTTACTTGGCTGGGGACGTGTGAATGTCGTAGTGAACCCCACATGCACGGAAGCTAACATGGTACGAGCATCAGCTCTCGCAGAATATGCAGGGTCCGCTTGGCCGCTTGCTTGCACGACTTGCCGCAGTTTCAAAGCATACTTTGCCTTTTGTCTCAGAATGGGCTACAAGAAACCCGCCTCTTAGAGGGAACGCTCGTTCTCGCAAGCCCCGGCTTCACGACATGGTCATTAGTACCTGGGTATGCTCCCCTAGCTCTAACTCTGAACATCCTGTCAACAAGTGAAGAGTTTTATGCTAATCCCAAGCTCAAGACCTCGACAGTCTTAAACCCATAAACTCTAAGCCAGAAGCTTGTAGCCCTAAACCCTGCACCCCCTAAACCCCCAAACCCTTGTCATGTCCCTTATCGCTAAGCCTATATCCCTTATCCTTAAACCCTAAACCCTTGTCAAAACTCTAAACCCTAAAACCCTAAACCCTAAACCCCCCCTAAACCCCTAAACCCTAAATCCTAAATCCCTAAACCCCAAGCCTCAAAAGCCTCGGGCCCGAATTCCCAAGTCCAATCCGATGCAAAGGAGGGCACCTCTGAGCCGCCCGCGAAGAAGCAGAAGAAAGACCGTGGCCAGAACAAGAGCAAGGACTGAGGAGTTTAGGGGTTTAGGTGTTTAGGGTTTAGGGCGGATCACGTTTTGCATTTGGTTCTTGGGTTTTCGGGTTCTAGTGCTTTCGGGTTTGAGATTTAGGAGGATGGAGGGTTTGGAGGCTACAATCTTTGCCAGTATCAAGGGCCTTAAACGATTAAAGCGCTTTCCAAATAACCAGACAGCATCCAGGATCGTCGCGAGAATGTCGCTGCCATGAAGAAGGCATGCCCTCACACTATCACTCTTGGTTTTGGCATAGGGTCTGGTTCAGGGTTCAAGGCTCGTTTTAGGATTTGAGGGTTGATCCCGGCACAAGATTTTTCAAGCCCTGCATGCTACAGCAGCATTCGCTGCAAGACCCATGCATCCCTTAACGCATTGCTAATGCTTCGGTTTTTGTTGCCAGCTACTTGCCACGCATTCCCCCTCAGCTCAAATGCGTAAGCAGACAGCATTGGCAGGTACCGGCAAGCCTAAAAACCACTTGAACTCCAGAAGCCTTGCGCGCAGCCGTCCCAGAGACGTAACGACCCTTAGTCTCGTGGCACTCCCCTTGGCCTAGGCAAGCAAGTTTTCGATTAGCGCAGCACTAGCCATCATCGCAGTCATACAAGCCCGGTGGCCGTAACTGTGTGTTTTGCTACACATATTATACATACATAGAAGCTTTACAAGCCGTCTGCAAAGACTTCATAGCTGTCAGTATCAGAACAGTCATCATCGTGACTAAAAGGTTTGAGGGTCATTCCATAACCGCGAACGGCAAGGCTGTGATGTTGTTGCTTGTGATGCTTGGCGATCATTCCGATGATGTGAGTGATGGTCATACAGTTGATGGCAGTGATGACTGCAAAGATAGTCATGGTTATGGTCGTGAATCAGGACCGGGATCAAGATCGTAGTGATGATGGTGATGATGACTGCTAGGATGATTGTTGACTCCATTTCTTTTCTGACGATGGATGCGATGGCAGCCGTGCAAGAGATGGCGAAGACGAAGCGAACTACTATGATCCTAAACCCTAAACCCTAAAAGTCCACGGATGGCGAGGTTTCTGCCCAGCAGCTTTGTCCCCGCCTCGCGGCCGCAGAACACATATACGTGTATATATATATATATCTATGTGTACATACACACACACATATATATATATAGATATAGCTTTTATATATATATATATATGTATGGCTAAACCAGAAAAGGAACTACAATGGAGACTATAGGAGACTCAGCGAGGCTCCAGAGCTTGGTTACCAGCTTTCGGCTCACGTAACGCGGAATGCAGCTCGCTGTCGAGCATACCGGACTTACAGTCATGGGAGCAGATCTCTCAGAGTTCTTCGAGACTCTTGTGTTAGGTCTGTTTTTATGCAAACTTGATGTTTGCTAACCGACTCGCGTGTTTCACCCAGCACAGCATGTGGATTTTTGCGAAGGCACAGCCACGTGCGAAGCCCTCGAAATCAAAGTCGAGACACTGGAAGCCTCAAAGGAGTGCGATCCTAAGCCCTAGTTAGCCCTAAACGCTAGAGCCCAGCTGTGTCAGTTGGTAGTGTCAACGGAGGAGATCTTGATCGTCAGGGTGCAGGAAAACATAGTGAGGATAGCCAAGCGGTTCTGTTGCCCGCGCCCCCAAAAGAAGATCAAGAACCAGTAACGGCACCCCTGTGCAACCCCAAACGCCTTAGGGTTTAGCGTTTTACCCTACGTAAGAGGTTTGCACTGCCCTACACTGACGGCTGAGTGACTCTGAAGCTGACCCTAAGTCCTAAGCCTCAAATCCTAAACTCTAAACTGTAGGTTACCCCTGATTTTTGACTTTGAAGCCTAAACCATAAACCATAGACCCTAAACCCTAATCGTTGCTAAGGGCTGGCGTACCTCAACGAGTGCGACGGCACGATGGGGGAGCCTAGGTCCTGTGGCCGAAGCCTAAAGGCTTGAAGGAGTTTAGGGTTGTTAGGGTTTAGGAAGCGGTTCCTGTAAAGGAAGTGGTTCCTTTAAAAGGGTACTGTAAGGTTAGTATCAGGATTGTGCTGAAAGGGGCGTTTACTGATTCAGAGATTTTTCAGGGGCCTAGAGAACTTTCCGTGGGCTCGATTAAGGGTCTTATGGGGTCACGGGTGATTCGGGTGAGGTGTCGGCGTTTTGGTTTTGCCCGAGGCGGTCTGGATGTTGGAATCTACACGGATTTGTGCCAGGATGCGACATCTGAGCTCAATTTGTAGTGCCCACGGGTCGTGACGTGCTGCCCTGGCAGAACCGAGCGTACGGAATCTGGAGCGAGAGAGAGCCAGACAGGGAGGTTGTGTCGGAATCGAACCACGACCTCCAGGTTGTGGCGATGCCAGGTCTGTCCCCGTCATAAGCATCATCATGACCACCACCATCATCATCATCATCATCATCACCATCACCATCGCCATCGCAATCCTCCTCCTCATCATCACCACCATCTCCATCACAACATCACCATCACCATCGTCATCCTCATCATCAACGCCATGAGTATCATCACCATCATCATCACCACCACCACCACCGCCACCACCACCATTCTCATCATCACCA